CTGAATAACAGGATGGAGTCTAAAGAACTTTTGCAATGTAGAAAATAACTTCACTTTCTGAATGTCTGTAGTTTTCGTTTTTATATGCCAATTTTACATTTTAGCTTATTTTATACTGCATTCTCACCATATGTTTCTGGTATTCTTTTTGCCTAGATAATGTCAATTCTTCATTAAGCCTCAACTTCATGTTAAACATATACAATCTTCTACTACAATTGGCAATAATCAAACCATAACCAACCTACTATAAATAATCCCCATCCATAAATATATATCTACGCTATTAAATACCTAATAAAAATTCAACACGTGCATTGCACGTGCCTTAAACTAGTAATGAAAATAAGGGTAAAAAGGTAAATAGAACCTTGAATAGTGAATTCCCTGGATTTAGGCCTGGACTTAACCCTGGATGTATAGCATCGTTCAATTTTCAGCAGCCACGTCATCCTGTCAAATGTCATGTAAGGGCTAATGTACAAATAGCTTTTTCCTTCTTGAATATTGCATTGTTCTGAAGTTATACTTCTGTAGCTAAACATTTTAAGATTTTTTTTTAAAGGAAAGAAGATGAAGTGTGGTGGAATATAAAGTTTTAAGAGTATTTTCAAGAGACTCTTTAAATATGAGATGTTCTTTATTTTAAAAAGTCAATATTTAAAATCATACTCTAACAGACTCTTTAAATTAACATTTTAATTTTCAATGTAAGAAAATAATAAAATAATCTAAAGAAAAGCTAGATAAAATAAAAAATAAAACAAAAATAATAAATATTTTTTGGGAGTAGTAAAATTAAGTATTAAGTGCTTGTTTGGTAAAGATTAAAATCTAATTAAAATTAAAAATATAGCCGTTATTGAGTCTCATTCGTCTAATAAAAGTCAACAATAACGGATAGTTTTTCAATTTAATCTCTATCGAACACGCCCTAAATATAAAGAGTTTGTTGGAGTACTTCAAAATTTTAACTCTCTAAATTTATAGATTCTCTCCAAATGATAGAATATACTCTTTAAAAATAGAGAATCTATTTGAGATGCTCTTAGATTTGAGTTGTAGGTTGCACATAAAAAAAATTTGAATTTAATTTGTATAAAAATAAAGAAGTTAGGTACTGAAATCACAATTATTCCTATTTAATTTCGAAATGTTTTGACCTTTTTAACGAAAAATCCGATGGATCTTGACGTCATGAGAGTTTTTTGCACAAAATATTTCAAATAAGGATTTTTTTGCAATTTCAAATGAATAAAAGAGTATATCGCACATAAAAACGTTTCTAAAGAATTTTCTGCTATTAATCCATCAAATACATAATATATTATTGAGTAGAAATGGATTATTGTCCGCGTCTATTTTCAAAATAATACACGAAAAATTTCCTCTTACAAAAAATAATTAAGAAAAGGATACACTAATAGCCAAGCTCGAAATATAACTAGTAAATTTTGTCACGTCTAACCAAGAAAATACAACATAACGTGATAAGATCTATCTCTTGGAGATTTATCGTGTTCGATACTCACTGCATTCATTAAGATTACAATAAACCATACTATTATAAAATAGCTATATCTCACGAAAGGTCTAACATCTAGTCTAGTCGGTAAGTAAAGGTATTATGGTTCTTTCTTGACGATCACTATATATCCAACTAGCTCTCTACTAAATTACCCAACTTCACGGAGAATGTGTCTCGAGCTAGGATTTCTCTTCGTCCGATGTCGGGCATGGCGGCCCAGGAACAGAATCAACAAAGAACTCCTCTACTGAAACGACACAGCATCAAAAGATGATCAAAAATGTTATTGTGCGATGTCAGTGACTTCAATAATTTCAATCAAATAGACAAATAACTTAGAAAAGGATGTTTCTCATCTTACCAATATCATCATGCTCCGGAGAATCGAGTAGAATATCTGAATCAGAAGGCAAAAATGGGGAACCAGGATAGTTTCCAAGAGCTCCTAGATCTGCTTTTTTTTTTTTTGGAAGTAGCAGGTATAATTAGTTACGACATCTAAAGAGACGAGGGGAGAAACAATTAGCAGTAAGGAAAAATATAATATTTTTCATGCATTAAACTACCGTATCAAAATAGCTATAAAACACTTGGGGTATGTTTAATATGCAATACTCGACACTCTTGTAAAGAATAATAGACAAGATTTTAACATTTTTTCTTCGTTCATCCTAAAATACAATAAATGGAACATGCTATGAGTGATCATATGTAATCCTAAGTGACTATACGTAACAGTTATGCAAACCCCACATATTCTCAGAGATCGTCTCTATTTATGGAACAAAGTGAAACAAGACATGCCCCAAGAATACACATTAAAAAAAGCCAAACGACATAAGTGAGATCAGACCGTAGTTACCTCCCAAATTCGATAGATCTGCCGTCAAGTCTGAAAGACTGAAGTTCCAAGGTATCTGAGCCAAGGATCTTAGGGAATCTCTAGAATTTCCAGCACCATTATCGGGTGGAAGCTGTAGTCCTACTGAACTTGCCACATCAGACGTGAAGGCCGTGTTAAGGGTTGATGTGTCAACTCCCATGCCAGATATCTCTGATGCGCTGAAAGGGAAATGTCCTGTGGAAGCTACTGATGTGGGGCTTACGGTCATATCTGACATGGATGCCATCGTATTATTTAGAGGCATAGAGGGCGATACATCAACTGCACCAGTGTCAATCATCATACTGCAGGGGAGAAAAATGGCAGTCAGCAGCAGAAGATTTAGCCTCCGTTTGGCAAAATTATAAATCATTTATAAAGAGGAATAGTAAGAGAAGTAGTACGGGTCCCAAGAAATGTGTAGATAATAAATGAGTAGTAGTTATGAATGTGTAGTTGAAGTTAAAGTTTGACTTTGACTGCATTTATAAACCATTTATAACTTGGCAACCAAAACGGAGGCGTAATAAGCTAAATGTGGAAGTGAAACCGTAATTTCTTGGGTTACAATGAACTTCAAATAGAAGTAGTACCTTTCTGTCTATCTATGATGAAATATTCGACGGTCATAATAATATATTAAGGGCTTAGATAAAGAAACATTCATGACTACGAAATTTCTCTTTGAATTTCAAAATCTGATAAAAATAAAGGAAGCGTAGGCTTCAGGAGGAAGAATTCGCACTCATTCCCAGACGTCATTCGAATTGGATAGAAATTTCCTGGTGCTGGAACTCCATTAACAATGTGACAGCTAGATGTGGAATACCCCGTAGAATCAAAATGGTGTTGGCCTGTAGCGGGAACTGGAGGCTGCTGTATGACAGGGTATCCCATAGGTAAGTTGTTGACTGCACTGCAAACAAGTGGCATTGATTAATGATAATGATATGATAATAGATAATTGCAGTTTAACATGCACATAAAATACCATTAATTTAAGCTTTCAGTGACCTTATTCTACGTCCTACTTTCTTCAAAAGGGGAAAAAGAAGAAAAGGCAACATGAACAGCAAAATCCCCAAAACTTTAATAGGGAATTATGGGGGCTAAACACTATAGTGTTAACATGAAATCTCTGTCCACCCCTCCCCTAGTGTGTTGTGTTCAAATCTTGAATCTTAATCTCTTAGAAGAAAACGCTCCAACCAAAAAAGCTCGTGCGGAATATAGGAGAACAGTACAGAAATATAAATAAACGTGCATTGTGAGTGGCACAGTCAAATTAAGCGTTAAGACAAACCTAACTTGCATAACAGGAAGTTAATTTGACAAAAGGCACTGGCCAAAGAAGTAAATAGCTGGTAGGATATCAGAAGATATAGAGGGAACCAAAATCCAAGAAATTGGAGGTATCATAAGATACCGAAAGATAGTACTATATTTTTCAGGCCCTTTTGGCAAGCTTTTGAAAAGTCAAAAGTTGTTTCTGATACTAAGAAGCTACTTTTAAACATGTTTGAATAATTTTCTGAAAGAGCTTTGTCAGACTAAAAGAGCTTTTAGAGGAAACGGGCCTAATGTAGCTTTCTCGGGAAGCTCTTCTACGAGAAGCCGAAACAAAAGCAGAAGCAAAAGCAAAAGCAAAAGCAGAAGGCAAGCCAAACGTCCCCAAAATAACTCTACACAAACTCACGAAAAATAAATGATCGAGCACATGATCCCCAATTGCAAGGAAAATTGACCTATATCTTTGCACATCCCCACTTGAAAGATAAAAATGACTTTTCGAAGCTAAGGCTCAGCACACAAAGATCAACTAAAGAAAAACAGGAATTTAAATATAGGTCTCCTCCCTTAAAAGACCCATAATAGGTAATCAGGAGGCAACCCACGAGCTTACTGAAAAACTCAAATATACATGAATATCATTAATTTGTTTAGGACCACAAGATGGGGTCACTGTGAGAGAGAAAATGCAATTTTGCTTCTACGCAATGGGTTTTTAAGTACAAGAATAGCGTAACGTGAAGAATGACAATATTCTCCTATCTGTCAAGATAGGGGTTGTAACAAGCCAGCTCGCGAGCCCAACCATACAGCTCAGCTTGGCTCATTGCTTAAACAAGCCCAAGCTTTTTGGCTCGCGAGCCCTTTTTTTATAGGGAAAATGAGAAATTGATTATTCGCCGTGTCGTATGTTGCCAAAATGAAGAAGTAAACCTTCGAGTTGATGCTTTTTGAGATTTTTCTGTGGACGCCGCTTCTTCCTCATCAACATCTAGATCAGTAGGGGCATTTGTATTTGTATCCAACTCTTAGTGAATTGGAATGTGATCATCACCGGTGAAATCATTACTAAAAATATTACCGCCACCAGATGGAATGCTCGAACAACCCAAAAATTGGTTCAAGTAATCATTAGAAGATCCATTTCGACTGACAGAGACTAAGAAAAATGTAAGGGAGCTGGAGAGAAATTTAAAGAACTAGTGAATTACAGAACTCGTGATGAGCCAAGCCAATGGGCAGGCTCGCGATCCAGCTCGGTCTACCTTGTTGCCACCCCTATTTTGGGGCAAGGAATGAGAGTTTTATCACAAGGTTAATAGACACCCAAAAATTAAAATAAAGAACAGGCATGAGAAGGGAACATCGTAAGACGGTGATATGCATTCTTTGGACCTAAGTTAAGATTAAAGCACAGAAAGATGAGGTCTCTATATTTCACATCAACGGCTTTCAGTAACTTAACTCTTTCATATTAAATGAACATCACTGAAACTAAGACCTATAAGATTGAAATGAATGCACAATCAATTACGAAGTCAGCATCAAGTGTCAAACCAAAATATAGAATATTGAACACAATAAGTGAATGACAGAAAGTAATTACCTGCCATTGGATGAATTCCATTCTGAATAGGAGCCAAACGAACCTTCGGAGGCGCTGGATATTTCATTAGATGGTGCTGATGCTCAAGCAAGCAATTGAATAAGATAATTTGTTTCTTCAGTTTAAGTCTTATGTAGTAAGCCCGGAAAAAGTCAGCATTTTCTTCTTCTAATTTCTGCCACACTGAATTGAGAAAGGAAAACAGAATAAAAATAATGAAAATGCATTAAGCTCGGTCGGTACAGCAGCATATATCAAGGGACAGTGACAAGAGATTACTTTAGATGTTCTGATGCTACCTACCTAATGTTGTGAACCCGGGATCTATTCTGGCGCGATTCAGTAGGGTCTTCACAACCTCATCTCTATTCATATACAACTGTAGACATCGTTCTATCAAATTCTGGACCTACAGCAGATAATGATCATAATCAACCTAGAGAACTGAATCCTGACATTTGTTATGATAATACCAAAGACAATAGGAAAGAACATGAAGGATAAACAATTGCCTTACAAGTTCAATATCCTCACGTGAAACTTTTCTGTTGTCACTGCTTGACACAGAAATTGAACCTGAATCTGGTACAGGAGTCTCTGTAACATTATTAGGTTGTTCACACTGGGACTCATGTGATACCTGATTAGCAGGCTTTATTTCTGATGTGTTATGTGAATCCTGCAAAAGTTTCATGTTAAACATGAGAAAAGCCGACTAAGTAAGTAGTAGTTCATATATGAAATCTGATGAAAATAAGTATTCGGCGTGAGATCACATGGATTTGTTTATGTTTTAAATGCTCATTTTGATGAAAAACAAAATATGCATTTATATGCAGTATATAGATCCACATTGCATTTAAACTATCTTCACGTAACAAGGCTCCGTTACAATGTTAGACTTCAGCAAGGAAACTTAAGGAAAGCACTATGAAACTCCTGTTTGGTTGCAAATGAAATACGTGTGAAATAAAACCTGTTTGTTCGTCATTTCAGCTCCATGAAGCTTGTGTATCTTGCAATCATTCAATTCAACAAGGTCCTAGATCCTACTTAAATAATCCATAACAAACTGAAGCACTCCACCTGGAAAGAAGAAACTGCAGTTATATAATTTCTACCATCCAGAAGCAGCTGCCAAATAAAGTGGATACAATATAACTGCTGAAAACTGCCTAGCTCATTGAAATTTATATAAATCAAGAAAGCAAATGAATCTTTGTCGTTGCATCATTATGCTCTAGTTTAGGTCATCTTACAAGCAAAGAGTATCTATGTGTTATCAAGAATTGCAATGGCTCAATGCAAAGATGGACATCAACAATATTAAGCTAAAATGACAGATTGTCTAGCAATTACTTGGCTTCATGTTCCTTGCAAAATGAATCAGGAGACAGAAGTAACAGGTAACAGCTTGGACAAATACATATGGCAACCACTAGTATGTACTTTAACTCACTTGATGGCACTATCTACATTTTCTACACAGGCATGATTTCAGCATAACCATCAGAAAAGTACAAGACCCTGTCAAAATTCAGACTGATATGGAATTTTTCTTTAATTGTCAGCTTTGCATTCAAAGTCCCATTTTTTGCCATATCACACTTCAATGTAGAACAATCAAATTGCTTAACTAAACAAAGCTAAGCAATATTTGCACATGTCTAAATGAATAACTGATAAAAGAAACGAGAATAACAACGCAACACCAAAGACCGAGACTTGTAGGCGCTGAAATTCAAAGACCCAGTCATATAATTCAAAAATCACGTGATAAAATAATATCAAACATGGTACCCTGATCTAAAATTTTAGAGATGCATTAAACTTAAAGCATTTATTCAGGAAAAATGCAGAACCAAAATTTATATTTGGTTGAAAAAGAAAAATGCATAGCTCCATAGCACTTCCTTTCACGGAAATTTTCTCAATGACAAATCAAGAAAGTAAAATAATACACGAGAGAAAACTAGATTAACATTTTCATGAAAGCAAATGTGTCCTATTAGACTCTAGGCAGTCCATAACCACCATAATTACTTCGATCCAAAAATACACAGTCTCTGGAAATTTTCTTTATCCTCTTCGTCAAAATTTTCTTTTATTTGCTTCTTTCCTCCATTAAAAACCCAAAATTTTAGACACCAATTTATTGATTCTGGAAAGACACGTCGCAACATATACTTTAGCACATTCTAACTAAGTTTTAAAACGAAAAATACATACCTTCCTCACCATTAGAACAAATTTACTTAATGATAAATAATGTAAAATATTATCATTTTCTCCACATCTAAAAACAGTCAAATTCCAAATTACATCAAGCTCAAAACCAAAAATTTTATCCTATGGCTCCACCCAAAAAACATTCTTTTCAAATTTTGTCTTGTCATATTCCTAATTTCCACTCATTATTTGAAATTTTACACCTGAATATAAATATCTTGTGAAACTAAAATCAATAATCACAGAAGATCTACTGAATAGCAAATAATTTACTTTCATCGAAATTAGTAAACAAATATAATTTAACCAATAAATTTAAATACAAAAACAACAAAAAATTACCTTTGAAGAGATATTTCAACTTCGAATGCTCAAAAGGGCCTAAATTTTGAGTTTACACTGACAATTATTGAATCCCAGATAAGGAAATTTCAGATTTAATTCAGAAATAAGAGTTCAAGACTGCACATATGATATATTTTCTAGACTGCACTGAGGAAAAGAAAAGAGATATTTAAGGAGGGGTAAATGAAACTATAATGAATTATGGGGGAGGAAAATGAGATATTTCAAGAGATTTTAGTCAGTTGAGGTCTTCTTTTGGAGTTCAAAATTATTTGCTTCTATAAGTAATTTGATTTTGCTAAATAATTAGATATTTATTTCTTAAAATAATTATATAATATTTTCAAGTTGCTAATGTATGAATTTAGTATTTTAAATTAATCCATCAAGTCTTATATTTTCATCGTAATTTTAAATTTTTTATCCATAAGAAATATATGATCTTATAAAAAAGTTACTCGTTTCACTACTGTCTTTTTGTTATACTCAAAATAATAAACTAGTATGTCTCACCAGAGAAGCCATTGAACGAACTCAGACATTTGTGTACGAGGAAGAGTGGAAATTTGGAATTTTTTTATCGTCGATAAAAACGATATATTTATGCTTTTATTTGTATACCCTTTTTGAAAGTCTTTTACAAGAAAAAAGATTCGTAAGAGATCGAGAAACGGAAGAAAAATTTATACCACATGCAAAAATATATATAAGAAATTTCGAGCTCTTTTTGAAAAAAAGTTGTAATGTTATACCATCAATCGTTCAACAGTTATAAAAGCATAAAGAATTTTGAAATGTTGCTAACTTTTTGGTGAAGGACAGATCCTGTCTTAAACAAAAGGCAAAAGAAGAAAAGTTGCTGCCATTTCTTTCGAGTTTGAATATAAGGACGAAAAGAGAAGGCCACCAAGAATAATAATTGTGGGCCATATCCAAATTGATGTTTGGAAAGTTGAGGGCAAGAGGGTAAATATCAATTAGGTTAAAAAAAAAATTAATTTGTCTCGATTAAATTATTAAACTTCAATTTAATTTTAAATTTTACCACTATGTCACATTCTATCACATATCATTCACCAAACTCATGGAAATTGCTTGATTTGGTAGCCAAATCCTAAATGACTTTCCAGTAATCGCCACGTGGCACTCAAAATGACATTAGTAAAACGAAAGTCGTGCTAGTATCTTTATTAAAATGTTAAAGGATGTGTATTTTTTATTTTAACACTTTTATTAAAAGATATAGTGGTAAGTTGACATGTCATGTTTTGATTACATGGAAGATATGCTGTTGTATCACATCTTAAAGTGTGATACATCTCGATCGAGTATGAGAGATGTGATTGTTTAACAACTAAAGCATCGTTTGGTAACCATTCTTTTTTTCATTCTCATTCTTCTACTAATTTTCAACCACACATTCATCAATAAAATAATATTTTCCATCACATCAATAACTTTTCCTTCATTTTCAACCACAAAAAAGGTGTGATTTGACACAAAGAAAAATTAGTAGAAGAATGAGAATGAAAAAAAGAATGGTTACCAAACGGTGCCTACATTTTAATTGCATGAAAGGTTCATAACTTTTACACATTATCACATTTAAGGTGTGATTTGACACAAAGAATACATTTTTTTCTAAAATAATTGTTACCAAACGGTGTCTAAATTAAATTTGTATTAAGACATACTTTAGTAAAAAAGAAATAAAATGTCGAGCAGGTAGAGACCAGAAACCGTGAATACTATTTTCTTCAACAAATTAATTAAAGAGTGATTGAAAATATGAGAACTCCTAGCTGTATATCGATTTGAGGGTCTAAGCTTTTTTCGGGTTTACCAAAAATGTTGTCTATTTTATGTTGAATAAATTGATGGGGCCCACAATCAAAGTGGGTCCCATCAAGTTGATCTTTTGCTTGAGAGATCCAATGGTTAGGGATCACGTCTACTGTACAATTTGGGTCATGAATAACGAAGTTTGCAGTGTAATGAACTTTTTTTTGGGTATTTGATTTTTTAGAAAACTTCAACTTCCATAGCATTTGAATCTGTATAAAAGAATTATTTCAAGATCTCTTTAATTTGTTAAGGAGATTATAATTGGGTTATGATGCCAAAAGAAATATTAAAATTTTTGTGTGACCTGAATTTCTTGTTGAAGTTATTGAAGAATTCTAATTGAAATGCATGTCGTGAAGAATTCAAATTTGGAATTCTATTGGAGTACTATGTTAAATTGAAGTTCTATTTTGGAAGCTCATTGAGAGTTGAAAATTAGTATTAGACTTGAAGAAGAGTTAGGAATGGGGAAAACAATTTTAAAAAAATTCATAACTCCTAGCGTCGGGGCATGGGTGCCGCAGCGCCTGCCCCAGCGCTGGGGTGCCCAGAGGTGGGCACCGTGGTGCCACCTGTTATGTTCTGTTCCATTTTTCGCGTTTTCTTCTCCTACTTCGTTTTGGACTCAATTTTTTGACAGTATACTTCATCAACAACTCTACCAAGAGAGTTTGGACTCCTTCTACATGTTCATTATAAATATTAGGTTCTTCTATACAATTTTATAAGTGTGAGAAAATAAATTACTAAAATTATGGGATCTATTGTAATTTTCTCTCTTCTCCATTATTTTTGAGTGGATAAAATCTATTAATTTTTCTACCATATTCTTGTCTTTTTTTATTCTTTTGTTCGATCAAATACTTCATTATTGTGTCATATAACTTTAACATCTCAATCTGATGGTTTGTTTCACAACAAGAAATACAATAATATCTCAATATATTAATATTCGACAAAATTGGTTAAAAAGTAAGGAAACAATTTGGATTTATACGTAAAATATTTGTTCAAGTGTGATTGAAAATTACTAGCTATTATACATATGAGAATTTGTTTGCAAAATTTAGTATAATCCCAGCTCTTTCATAGCAAAAGTGAACTGGTATGTATGTGTTTTGTTTTCTCTAATAATATTTTCTGCCAGATTCAGAATTTTTCAGTGCCGGGAATCCTTGTGCTTTCACTAACGTTCAGTCGCACCATCAAGCTCGGAAAACTAAGTTACGAAGATACATTCTAGCTGAAGTTGGAAAAAGTCACCAAGGAAGAATAAAATTAACTTATACTAAAGGACGATGAAATCGAACATAACAAAACTATTTTAAGTATAGATGGTTATCGTGGTTCTTGATTTATCATTTCAAAGGAAATTTGTCAACCAAATCATTACCTCTAGTAATGAGGGGAAGATGGTTGATCCGGTGAAGACCGTGACCACTAGACTCCATGAAATCTACTGTACTCGAATGTCCTTCCTCGACTTCCCTCATTTATCTGAGATTGCTCATTTTTACCTGGAAAACCTAAGGGACTGACACGGCCAAACTCAAGCCGTTCACCATGAGAAGA